TCAGATTTTTGGACCCACAGATCTTTACAAGCGGTTTTGTGTTGGTAAGATGACTTAGAGAAACGCACTTTGTCCAGAATCCATTGTATGCACCATCGTTTCCAGAGTAGGACCGTGGACGTGGTACATTCCCAGACGTATCGCCGGCATTGTCAGTGAGTCTCGTCATTCGTAGCACCATATTACAAACTCGTCAAAGGGACAAGTCAAAAGGACTCTCCTTTTGACGAGTTTGTAATATGGTGCTACAAATAACGAGACTCACTGACGATGCCGACTACGATGCCGGCGAAACGTCTGGGAATGTACCATGTCCACGGTCCTACTCTGGAAATGATAATGTCTACAATGGACTCCAGACTAGGTGCGTTTCAACAAGCGTCCACGGTCCGACTCTGGAAATAATTATGCATACAATGGACTGAGGACAACGTGTGTTTCTATCAATCGCCTACCAATATGACCGAGTTGCGAAAACAAGGTCAAACAACTTCTATACAACGAAAGGAGACTGCGACCAGACAAAAGGCCATACCATCTTGGTCTTCATACCTTGGATACCGGAGGCCTGGTTGACCGGTCGGCGAATGAACCACTCTGAACCTCAGTTTGTATCGATTTCAGGTGCCGTCTCCTTCCGTTCAACCCGACTCTGGCAGTCACCGTTGCGCCCTTTTGAAGGCAATGGGACGCCTTTGCAGCTGCGCCAAATGAAAGCACAACCCTCCCTTTTTATCGGTACCAAAACTGCGTTCTTCCACTTCCGGTCAGCAGCCGAGTTAACTCAATAACCTAGTCTACAAGACGTCCAGGCAGGGAGTAGAAGGCAATGCCAGATCAAGTTCGCTAAATGGCCGGGTCAACATGGTCTTTGTTGCCGGTATCACAGCACTAGACAAGTTGACAGCACTGAGGGCAAACGAGAAAGTTTACCCAAACACAGTTCAGCAGACGAAGAATAATGACTGTTGTCTATTTCCCCATCTCACCATCTATCTCTCTACCTCTCTCAAAATATTCATTCATCCACCTATCTACTTATCCATTTAACCATCTATGTATCAATCGATTTAACCATATATTTATCTATGAGCCTATATATCTTTCTCAAAGATATGAAGACCAAAATGGTGTGGCCTTTTGTGTGGTCGCAATCTCCTTTCGTTGTATAGAAGTTGTTTGACCTTATTTTCACAACTTGGTCATATTGGTAGAAAGACTTAGAGGAACGCACCTTGTCCGGAATCCATTGTATGCATAATCATTTCCGAACTCGGACCGTGGATGTGGTACATTTCCAGACGTTTCGCCGGCATCGTCAGTAAGTCTCGCCATTCTTAGCACCACACTACAACTCGTCAAAGAGACAAGTCAAGTCAATCCTTTGACCAAATGTGTGCTAAACAGTAGTGGTATATTTCCTTCTGTACTGGGCTAGTCACCTGTCCTATGTCCTCGTATCCCGCCTTAACTATCACAATTTCTTACTTGCTTATTGAAATGTTGTATGGTGTGCCTTTTTTGAGCGGTTTTCTTAAGAACTCTCCACAATCCACCGTTGTTTTCACACACCCCTTCACCTTTCTGCTGGGAATGTTGATCAGAGTCTCTCCTATTTTTACGCAGTCCTCCTTCACTGGGTCTCCCTCTTGCCCCGTAGGATTCTTCTACTATCGCCCTGGTTCAAATATTTCACTTGACCCCTGCAACCCAATCTGTACTCCACGAGGCGTTATTTCTCACACTCTGCTTCTGGAAGACTAACTAGAAGCTAAAACTCCTGAGTAATTGTCAGGAGACAACCCACAAGTGTTGTTGTATCATTTGCTTTGATTAGGTTCAATGTTTAACCATAACGTTTGTGGGTTGGCACACAAGAGACTAGGCCATGGGACGTCAAAGATTTGGTATTAGAGATAGAAACAGGATAGACGTGGCGTAGACTGGAGCTAGTTGGCCGGTCCATGTAGCAAAGGCTTGACCATGACAATTACTCAGGGCTTTAGCCTATGGTTAGTCTGTCAGACGCAGAGTGAAGGAAGTAACGCCTCGTGGAGCACAGATTGGGTGGCAGGGGTCGAGTGAAACACTTGAACCAGGGAGATGGCAGATTAATCCTACGGGGCAAGAGGGAGATTCTGATAGGACCTATGAAAGGAGAACTGCGTAACAATATGGCAGACTCTGATCAACACTTCCAGTACAAGGGTGAAGGAGGGTGAGAAAGTTGTGAGAAAGCTAAAGTGGAGTGTGAGGAGTTCCTATGAAATCCGCTCAAAAGGGCACAACATTACACATTAAAATAGGCAAGTAAAAAATTGTGACAATGAAAACATGATATGAGGAAATAGGATTGGTGATTAGCCCTGGGAGGAAGGAGAGATACCACGATTTGTTTATCAAATAATTGGTCGAAGGATCAGCTTCTCTTGTCTCTTTGACGAGTTATGGTGTGATGCTAAAACTGGCAAGACTGATTGACGATGCCGGCGAAACGTCTAAGAATATGCCACGTCCACTGTTTGACTTTGGAAATGATCATGCATACAATGGACCTCGGACTAGGTGTGTTCCTATGAGTCTTCCTACTAATATGACCAAGTTGGGAAAACAAAGTCAAACTATTTCTATACATTGTTAGGGGGACTTTCATTTCGTATGAGAGTGAATAAAGAAGAGATTCGTTGGTCGATCTCACCAGATGAGGACAGATGAATCTTGTTTTACTGCAGCCGTTTGGCTTTTATACCATATTCATGTTCACGTAGTCCACGAGACTTCCTCCCTCGTTTCGGGTAAAGCGTGCGGAGCTTTCGTCCATCATATGATGGACATCATCAGAGCTGGGTGTCATTCTCACGTTAAGACTATGGCAACAAGACTATCCGGCTCTATCTTACCTCCTAAATCGACTCAATTGAGCCGAAAGAAAATTAAAAACCTCGATAGATCGAGATAGAGTGGTTTGGTTAATTATATTTCATACTATTCCTGTTACTTTTGCTCGAGTGTATAGGTATGTGTATGTGTGCGTGTTAGCGTCTGATGATGTCCATCATATGATGGACGAAAGCTCAGCATGTTTTCACTTGAAACGAGGGAGGAAATCTCGTGGACTGCGTCTAAATGAATATCGTATAAAGGCCAAACGGCTGCAATACAACGAGATTCATCCGTCCTCATCTGGTGAGATCGACTAACAAATCTCTTCTTCATTCACCTTCATACGAACTGAAAGTCCCCCTAACAATATCTCCTTCGACTTCGTTGAAAACGTGCTAAGCTCTTGTCCGTCGTATGACGAACATTATTATTATTAATATTATTTACGAACATTATTAGAACATTATTATTATTATTATTGACGAACATTATTATTATCATCCTTACAACACTATTCAAGCTGAAGAGCCAAGACAACTCACCGTCTCATCCCTAAAATGCTGTATATACACTCTATATCTGACCTCTTTGATGAAGAATAAGTTCAAGTCAATGTCAACCTCGAAACACGCGTGTATTTCTGGCGTACGTGCTTGCACGTGTTCCTATATGCACAAAGTCAGCGGTGATGGCGCACAGTTATTATTAGAACAGAAAAAGTAACTTGGTCTTGTGTTCAGGGAGACTATGTAGAACGCACCGAGTCCGAAGTCGTCTGCCATAGTAGTT